ATTCTAGAGCAGGAATTGATGCCCTACTTTCTATCGATGAAGAAACAAACTTGCTTATCCGGAAAGAGAAATACAACACCAGAGAAGAGGACAAAAGAATGAAGACAGTAGTAAGGCAGTATGAAACAGTGTTAAAAGCAGCAAATTTGGGTTCGGAAGCGTTAGATTTCACATTTAAAGCTGAAAAAACCGCCATAAATAACAAAGAAGAATCGCAGGACCTGGTAAAGTCGCGTCAGGGGTACAACAGTACCTCAGCAAAATCACTAACATGAGATCCTCACATCGGCTGCCCGGGAAGTAAGGGCATCTTACAAAAGATAGGGGCAAACCAGATAAGAGAAGCAGCTGCTTTTTCTGAGAAGCGCCAAAAGTGTACATGCCTCTTTGTCAAAAATGTGTATACCACAAAAACATATCGGAAACTCATAATACCTCAAAATTTGAACGAATCCTTCAACATCTCACCTTTTCGGGGAAAGAAGTAAAGCTCGTTAGGGGAAAATTAACGCCCTCGGCAACGGTCCAGAGAGCACATTACAACAAACTCTTACCACAGCATGTAGTGGCGATCCCGATCCTGTATAACGCACCTCTTCTGCTTCCAGAGTATCGTAGTCATAACCCTCATTACAAAACAGTTGAACAACATTCTCAACATCAGCATTACCACACGCCTGATAAGAATAACAGTAACGAATCAAAGAGATCCTCCACAGTCCATTTTACATAAAATTATTACCATAAAAAAATGTGGGACGAAAAATTCTGTTCGGCGACACTTAAAACGGGCAAATACTAAAATTAGCAAGACCACCCGAATTGTCGACGAAAGGCTTTGTTGCTATTAAAAAGAATCTAAAAACTCAATACAGCCTACCCCAAGCTGCTCTAAGCGTGTGCTCGATAAAATCCGTCTGAGCAGTTGTTTTCTTTCTTCCAAGTTAAGCATAAACAACTACAATGGGGTTGTCGCAGGAAAAGTGTAAATTTTGCCGCGATTTGATATCTTTAACGCAAGTTATGTAACAAAACAGGTTTACACGGAGGAAAAACTTTCTACCTGACAAGTTAGGCCAGTGCCTTCTGACTCGCATATCACACAAGACGAATAAAAGTGGAGCAAGTCCATATATCGTTGTATCCACTTCACGCGTGACTGTACCTTCGCCTTCCTCTCCCGATTCAACTCATCAATGTTATTCAGTGCGCAAAGCCAATTCCAATCTTCAATTTTACGTGAATTTTCACTAGCTCGAAAATGTTTTGGCTTGCGGCTTTGCTCCGTTCCTCCATTAGCGTATAAGTGAAAATCAAAAAAGGCTTTCTGAACATGCCCTCCCTATATTACGGACGCCCGCAGAAATCCCCGCACGAGTAACTCCAGGTACGTCTTTTACATAACTGAAGACTGGTACATAGAAGTCTAAGAGGATCGATGAGAACAAA